AACTATTGTTCATTTTAATGAAAATTTACAGAGATTTTGGATTTCCATTATTCATTCATTGTTGCACTTTTCTCCCTGCCCACCTCTCCTCTCCAGTTCATTCTTCTCTTTGAAAAGCAAAAGAAAAAACATTCACCAAAAAAAGTTGTCAATGTGTCACAAATAATTCAAGTACTTTTCACTAATAATTCAAGTATTTTTCACTATTTTTTTAAATGTTTAAGAAAGTCCTACAGTAAAATACATTAAGTCTTCATAAATGATTTTATGTACGTGAGACAATAACTTCGAGTTATATGATGATTTGGAAACGTGTACTGTTATGACTTTGTCATTAATGATAAGTTAATGCCACTGTCGCTACTCGTTTTAAGACATGGAAACAATCAGATAAAACAGAATATTTTGCTCATATGTTTGCTTCTTTAGAGGCTCCTTCACTAAATGCTAAACTAACTGGATTTGTATTACATTTTCATTGTCTTTATTAAAAATAAGGACCAAATTTATAAAAATTATCTGCAGTTGCCTGTATCCATCACCAGAGGGTGCAAAAGATCTGTTTTTTATGTTTAGAGATTTTTGTTTTAACTTTGAAAATCAATGTAAAGATGTAAGGCAGAATTATATTTTAAAAAATATTTTATATTTAATGAAGGATAAAATTATTCAAACATAGCTACAAATTAAATATTTTGTACAGTAAGTATCTGATAAAAATAAATTACCTACTGAAGAGAAGATTGTCCCTCCACCTTTTATCCTCAAAAGTTTAAAATACTCGACAAAAGATTAAAAAATGCAAGATCTTAAGTTTCCCATAACTTGAAAATATGTACAGAACATATATTTTAAGATAATTCAGATTCACACAGATCAAATCAAATGTATTACTTGTTTCCTTTATTTTGAGGCAAACAGCTTATGCCTAATATTGCTTCTCTCCCATTTCCACTGAGTAGGAACCAATTCATAGCTGATCCCCACTGAGTTTCCAAAGCTGGAGAAGAATGTCTGTGTTTCTCCCCTGAAGTCACTGGTGGATCAGAAGCACCAGGGAAAAGCGGCCTTTGGGTTAGCAGTACAAATCTCTAGAGACGATGCCACCTTGTTAGAGCTTAATAGGAAATATTGTCATGAAAATATCTATGGGCAGTCTCAAAAACTCACTGCCCTTGAGTTAGAACCAACTTACAGCTGGCCCTCTGGCAGGTTTGTAGAGACTATAAATCACATGAGAGGTTACTGCCCATTTTTCTCTTCCAGAGCTCTTGCTGTCATTGAACCTCCAAAGCCCTTGGGTTAGCAGTGCGACTCTCTACAATCTAGGCCACCCAGCTCCTTCTGTAGCCAGTAGCATATGTTATTCCTATAAATTTTTAAATACCCATCACTTTTCAAAATTCATACTTTACATAGAACAGCTAATAATCATATACAGATTTATATATGTGTAAATAAGAAAACAGAAATATATAGGTAAATAGACAATGATAGTTCCACCAGATGAAATACCTTTGATAACATAAATTATAATGCATATTTATGCTAAGGGTTGTTGAGTAGAAACTGACTCATAGCAGACCCTCCAGTGGGTTTTTAGAGGCTGCAAATCTCATGCAAGGAAGTTGTCCATGTTTCTCACACAGAGCAGCTGATAGATGTGAACTGCCTGCCTTTGGGTTGGCAGCACAACTGCTCACCTACTATGTCACCAAAGCTCCTTATAATATGTATTAGGAGATTTAATATAAAGATGGTCATACTGAACAACTTAGGTGTATGGTTGCCTTTGTGTGTACATCTAACTGCATCAATCATCAGGTGGAGAAATATAGTACCCAACACTGTCAATGTATGTTGTGGTTCAAAGGCAAATGATAGATCAATATCATTGAAAACAAGTATTGTTCTGAGGAAATAGAAAAAAAGAAATGAGTATATACAGAAATCATTACAGCTTTGCTTTAGTGCTACAGTTGTTATCTGTTTCCTTTATAACGCTGACTGACGAATGCTAAGGAATATACTGATTTCCATTAAGCTATGGTTTGTCATTGAGTGTGAATTCTATGAGAATCTTTTTTTAATTTATACAATTGGTTTCATTTACATTCTATTTTGTTCATGTGAGATCCCCCCCGTTACACTCATTTATTAAAGATTGAAACTGTC